TATAAACAACTAGCAAAGGCCGAAGGAGTTCAAGCAAAACAAGAGTTACAAGGAAAAACAAATAAAATCCTAAAGGCTACCTAGAAGACTATAGCAGCTTGGACATCCCACGACTACTCGGTCGCCACACCTTCAGCAGCCGCAACGCTCTTAACAGCGGTATCATCTGGCGCTTCACCCTCGGCTGCCCCAGCCTGGGCACTAACTTCTCCAACTACTTCACCAATGGAAGCCTCAAAAGTAAAATCAAGCAAGTCTTCCGGAGAAATAGAGAAGGTCTCGAAACCCCGAGCCCAGCTTTTTCACCTTTCAGCTGCTCATCTTCCTCGAGTAGACCAACATGGATGCTCTACAGCTCATCCACTTCCTTCTTCAGACTTTCGTTGATCTTCAGTACACCTTAAAGTTCCAACACTTGGCGTTCAAGCCTATCGACGATTCTCTTAAAGTGGATCACTTGATTATAAGCAGCAATCAACTTTTCATCCTTTGCATAAGCAGCAAAACAAAGCTCAGAAACTGCAAACTCAAGATCTTGAATCTAAGGTATGTAACATCCAATCTTTTTCTCTGCACTTTCATGTTTAACTTGGATCGCGTCAAGCCTAGTCTTCAAGTCAACGATCTTTTGACGAGCGATCTCAAGCTGCAAATGAGTGGGGGCAGACATATGAGACCCCTTTAAAGCAACAAGCTCAGAATCTTCCATAGTATTGCCGTCTCCTTAGCAGCCTTACTATATCTACATCATAGCAAGCAGAGCAGTCATTCTATAATTGGGTCGTATACTTCACAAACGAGCTTGGGCAAACACCTTTCTGACGCCATCAACAAACTTGGCACAAGCGTCCATGTTTTCAAGAGATCTGGTTTCAAAAGCACATAGATCTCAGCAGCCCCTCCAGAAGCAAGCTTAGTGGATTTCTCACAGCTGCCTATGCGAGCAGTCTCCTCATTCCCAGCAGGCGAATCAGTCTTAGCAGCATAATGAATTGGCCTGGGCGCCACTTTAGCAGCAGAGTCCACCTTATCGCTCTTCACAATAACAAGCATCTCCAAAGATGAACCGGACTTTGCTCCTAACAAACGTCTTGGTACAAAATTCAACACTAGGAGCATGACAGAACCTTTATGCCGAACAATCCTATCAGCAATCGTACTAGCCATTCTTGACATGGCAGGCACCACATGCTCAGATCTAGCAGCCTCATTTTTCATCCCCTTGGAAAAAGTCAAGTCAATCACAAGCCTGGAGGCAGTCAACGAACCCGCGCGAGCGAAAGAAGTCTTTGGTTTTTTCTTAGCCGGTATCTCTTGAGCAGGCAGGGAAGATCCATTTTCCCACCTTCACTTGCAGCAGGATCCATAACAGTGATTAGACGAGCCAATGCATCCGCCTTGATCCTATTCACCTCATCTTTTGGGAGCAGTCCACGTTTTTCCTGACGAATAGAGCTAAAGTAGCCAACGCCATTCATGGTACCTAGCAAGGGAGTTCAACCCAACATTCCAGTAGCTCATGAGGCCCACAACCTCTTCATTTCTCTCAATCACTGGCCTAGCTCGCATCGTGTCCAAAAGCCTAAAAGGACATAAACCATGTGACTCACCTAGTACTGCGCCCCAGCGCCACAATTCGCGGCCCCAGCCACACAAGCTGCCCTTGATTCTAGCCAAGTCAAGCAGCTTAAAACAGTGGTCCCTGCCACAATACCTCCTCGGCCCATGCCGAGCCGACTCTTGGCCCATGCCAGCCGACGTGCCGCACCACCCCGACGGTTGCCCCGCGGTAGCACCATCCAAGAAGAAGACAAGGAAAATTAATTTTTTCTTACCTCAATGCGGCACGAAGAAGACGAAGAAAGCAACGAAAGACGGTCCTTTGCACGGGCAAGATGTAGAAGATTGCTAGATGAGGGGGAACAAATATCCTCTAAGCTATCTCTCTCTTGTAGGGTAGAATAAATCACTCTCCAAAGTTGATTTAATAACCCACTTAAGGTGGACTTAAATAGGCTTTGAGAGAAATTTATTTCCCTTTCCTAGAATGATCTAATTTCATATTAAAGAGAGAATCTATATCAAAATAGGAAGCAGTCCTAAGTTTCCTAAAGCAAGAAGATCTCTACACCTGCTGTCTTTTTCTGCGAGCAGCCCAACAGGTGTGGGGGCATTTGTGGAGCCAAAAATATTCACAAGGCGACACGTGGATTTTTGACAAAAGAAGACAAAACTACCCTTGGGGCATACCGGGATTCCACGCGCGCAGCAGCAGCAGGCAATTATCCTTCAACCAAGTCAAAAGTGCCCAAAATAGGTATCAACTTAAAACCTAATTTATTCATATATTTCCTATTTCATTATTTAGCTAATCAATTAGCTAAATATTATACCTATTCCATAATTCCTAAAACATTCCTTCTAAAATAATGATAATTAGCTAATTATTCCCTTAATTAGCATTTAGACCATTCACTTTACCCTAACTCCCACAAAAAGGCCGGCCATCTTTCATCCTTCTACCTTTTTTCCTTTATATGACAAATAATTAGCCAAGTTAATTAGGGAGTTATTGGCTAATTATTTTTTAACTCCTAATTAAACCCAAAAAACCCTAGCCACCTCCTATCCCTATAAATATACTCTCATTCTCACCAAAAAGAAGAGAAAAAATTCCAACACTTTGGCAAAATTCTCTAAACACTCTTTCTCTCTAAATTCTAACTTTGGCATCAGAGGTTCTTCGGCCAAAACCCCCCCCATTCATCATGGGCGCGTGAGGCTCTTGGCCTTAACCTAAGGTGTTAATTGTTTTGTAGGTGCAAAATCGTTCAAGATCGAGGAGGAGAAAATTTGCATCCACAATTATCTGTTTTATTAGAATATAATATAATTGGATTCTACTGGCGCAAGAGTGAAAAATAATCGTTGAAATGGAAGGTGAGTTTGACTTGGGTTGAGAGGATTGCAGCCCCAAAGTAGAATCACGTTTGACTTTTAGATACACGTGGTAGTCTGTGTCGAGAGAGGATGCTCGCCATATCCTCTTTGTGAGAATCCAGAAGATTCTTCAATCACATCTGTTTATCGTATATCATACGGTCAGTTTTTATTAGGTACTGTTTATATTCAATTTTAAATAAAAAAAATTACAATAATTTCTAACCGCACGATGTATGATGAACGAATGTGTTTGAAGGATCCAATCCTCACAAAGAATATCAAACGAAAATCCTCCTGAGTGTATGTCAACAAAGAAAAATGCAAAAGAGATTGATTTCTTTAAGAAAAATGTTAGGAGTCATTTTTTTTAGACCACGATTGTTAAATCACACCACGTGAAAATAAAGTAGGATTTCATAATCTAAATAATTTGAAATAAAAAATCAACCGTAAATAACTATATAATGTAGTTTATTATAAATCTCATTATAGAACTCTTGACCCTAGAAACTACAAAGCCTACGTGGCGCGCAGGCCGAGTAATTAATAAGCTAACTACGTCCTTCGGTGAATGCGGGGCGTGCCAACTCGTCGGCCGAGCTCGGCCGAGGAGTAAATTTGTTGATGTTGCGTTGGGTGCGCGGCTGACTTCTGCGTCTTGCGATTGCGGCCGAGAAAGGAACACGTCTCGGCCTCTTGGGCTCTCGAACCTGAAGACAAGGTTACTATTCTTACGAAGTTCAATATCAAATTCGGCTTTCAATGTGCCGAACGTAATAACGTGTAACACCTCACTTCGCCGAGAAGGCTGATGAGATGACCTCGACCAATAAGGGTTAGAAACCCTTCTCGACCGAGACTTGGATAGGTAATCAACCGTTCTCGCCGCAGTGCTGTTGATGCCAACGGAAGATACTGCGAGACCGATTGATTCTACGGTGACAGAGCTATCTATGCCGACTTAAGATATCACCGGTTGCTTCCACAGTGCTGTTGATGCCAACGGAAGATGTGTCAGCGAAAAAAAGAAAAAGAAAAATCACAAGTTGTGAGAATTTACGCAGGGCAATTTTGTATTGATTTGCAGGGGCCTGGTATGATGTGCAACCTCTTCTATTTATAGCAATGGCTCCCCCCAAGGTCGAGTTAAAAACCTACTCGGACTAGGTTTCCTTTCCCTGATCCGCATCAACTCAACCAGTCCTACCTTCACTAGGACTGTGAACCTAGTCCTTTACCTGAGCCGGATCCGCTTCCGGGTCCTGCCGAGACTCCTTATTGCACTAGGATTCGACTTCTTACGTTATGACCTAGCCGACCTAGGTTTGGCGGCCCACGTACTGAACGATCCGTGGTATTCTTGCCGCAAGGCCTCCCGGGCCGAGAATGACCCTACACTCGGCCCAAACTGTTATTTTGGGCCCAAACAAGAACATAATTTATCTTTGTAACTCAGGTGCGGAAAACTCTTTTTCCCTTCCATTGAGTTGAAATTCTCGACAAAATGTTTATCGAGCCCATTAATTTGTACCATATCCTTCATGTATTGTACTAATTTCAAATTTTCTTGTAAATGAATTTCGTACTTTGAAGTTAAAAATATATATATATAGTTTCTGTAGAATTAAACAACCTGAGAAAGAAATATACCAGAATTAGACCCAAGATAAGCAAAAAAAAAAATTAAAATTAAAAACGCAAAAGTTGTGGTGGAAATTGGGAAGTGGGAAGGAGGAAAAGGGTATATTTGTCATTACAAGGGGGCGGGGAATTGAATGAGGTAGCCGGGAAATGAGCAGTGTTGTCCACCGGTGGGTAGGAGTAGCAAGTTGTAGGGTTTAGGGAGCTGGTATTAAAAGCTCAACGGCTACACACCTGGCCCTGAGTGTACCCCCTTCTATATCTGTACCACCACACACAAAAAAACCAGAAAAGTATTATGCCCTCCAATGGGATGTGTTGAGAAATTAAATTTCTCTACCCTTTTGCTTCTCTCTCTCTCTCTCTCTCTCTCTCTCTCTCTCTCTCTCTCTCTCTATATTTTGGACCTTTGGGAGTTGTTGATAGAAAAACAAACGCTTCCAAAACTCATCAGTTACAAAAACCGCAGAAATCAGTGGAAGTGGGGATAGTGACAGGGGTGACTGCCTAGTCCTCTCTCTCTCATCTTTCTCTCTCTACATATATATTGGATACTTGTGGGTGATTTTGTTATGGTAAAAGTTAATTACAGGTCCAAGATTTAATCTTTCCAAAATCAAGCCGATATCTTGATAATCTTTTGGCAGCCGTTTATGAAATTTTTGGTGCACTAATGGCTGTCCTTGGCTTCCATAACTGATGCTCTTTCTCTATATATATATTTCAAACCACCACATTTCCTCCTTAAAACCAGTTTCCAAATCCCCATTATATATATACGTATATACGTGTGTGTGTATATACTATATAACCCACAAACAACAACACAAGGTCAAAACCCATATAAATATATCAGTCACTCTTCTTGTTTGCTTGCTGTTTCTCTCGTGGGACTTAAGCTTCTTCTGCTGATCAAGTGATCATAAAAACATTTAGTAGCTTTCTTCTAGCTACTTCCCAACTCAGGACAGAACTACTAGTGTGCGTGTGGCTGAAGAATTAGAGGAGGAAAATGGAGTACGGCAGCGGACGCGGTGGCTCTAGTGGCGGAGACCACCACGACGACTCCTCCGGCTCTCAAAGAAGGAAGAAGCGCTACCACCGTCACACTGCTCACCAGATTCAGAGGCTTGAAGGGTAAGTCCAAAGTCTACAACTTGTGCTCTGCATTCTGTGTCTGATTTGTTGGGTCTGTGGGTAATGTGGGATTGATCGGAATAACTGATAATTTTGGCTGCATATGTTGGATATGAAATATGAAGAATGTATAAGGAGTGCCCTCACCCGGATGAAAAGCAGAGGATGCAGTTGAGCAGAGAGTTGGGTTTGGCTCCTCGCCAGATAAAATTTTGGTTTCAAAACCGCAGGACCCAGATGAAGGTAAATTCTTACTCATTCACTCTTTTGCTTGATAATTAAATTGCTGAACTTTTTTCTTCATTTCTTTGTGCCTCATTGCTCTACTACTAATGGCAGGCGCAAAACGAAAGATCGGACAACTGCGCACTTCGAGCAGAGAACGACAAGATCCGATGCGAAAACATTGCAATCAGAGAGGCCCTCAAGAATGTCATTTGCCCCTCTTGCGGTGTACCTCCACTCAACGAAGATTCCTACTTTGATGAACAGAAATTGCGAATGGAGAATGCCCAATTGAAACAAGAGGTTTTTACTCGATTTCCATTTCGATTTTGTTACTAAAGTTTCAAGCTTGATGCAATCTTCTTTCAGTTACTATGTTCAAATTTTCAATCTTTCATTCATTTGCAGCTAGATAGAGTGTCTAGTATTGCTGCAAAATACATTGGGAGGCCAATTTCCCAGCTCCCACCAGTGCAGCCTATTCATATTTCGTCTTTGGACTTATCAATGGCAAGTTTTGGGGGCCATGGATTGGCTGGCCCTTCTCTTGATCTTGATCTACTTCCGGGGAGTGCTTTATCTACCATGCCCAATTTGCCTTACCAGCCTCCTGGGTTTTCGGACATGGATAAGTCCCTCATGACTGACATTGCCGCAAATGCCATGGCAGAGTTGCTTAGGCTTCTGCAGACCAATGATCCTTTGTGGATGAAGTCTTCTACTGATGGGAGGGATGTTCTTAATCTTGAATCCTATGAGAGGATTTTTCCGAGGGCTACTAGTCATTCGAAAAACCCCTATGTCAGAATTGAAGCATCACGAGATTCTGGTGTGGTTATCATGAGTGGTTTAGCATTAGTTGACATGTTTATTGACCTGGTAATTCTCTTCCCCTCCTAGTTCTCTCTGTATTGTCGTCTAATTTGCAATTCCCAAAACCTGAATTGTAGCTTAATAATTTATATCCAAATGTTTAACAATTTGAAGTTTGCAGAACAAATTTGCGGAGCTGTTTCCAACAATTGTCTCAATGGCAAGAACAATCGAAGTAATATCACCTGGAATGTTGGGTGGTCATGGCTCTTTGCAGTTGGTATGTGGCTTAAAATCTTTTTACTTTATTTTGATTTGTCTAATCTTCTGCCGGAATTATGCTTGGATAAGTTTCTTATCACTTGGATGATTTACCTAGATGTACAACGAGTTGCAAGTGCTTTCGCCATTGGTACCAACTCGGGAGTTCTACTTCCTTCGTTATTGTCAGCAAATCGAGCAAGGCCTGTGGGCAATTGTCGATGTCTCTTACGATTTTCCACAAGATAATCAGTTTGCAAACCAATGTCGATCTCATAGGCTTCCTTCTGGGTGCTTGATTCAAGACATGCCAAATGGATATTCCAAGGTTTGTTTCACAAGCAAAAAGTTTTTTTTTTTTTTTCTGTATGTGCTTGATTCACCTCTCCCAGACCCTGCGTAAAGCGGGAGCCTTGTGCACTGGGTACGACCTTTATGTGAAAGGTAATGGTAATATCTTCACTTACTTCCTCATATCATTGCGAAAAAATAGGTTACTTGGGTGGAACATGTGGAAATAGAAGACAAAGTTCCAACTCATCGGATTTATAGAGATCTTATTCACAGCGGATTAGCATTTGGAGCTCAACGATGGCTTGCTGCTCTGCAGAGAATGTGTGAAAGATTTGCGTGTCTAATGGTTTCAGGCACTTATACTAGAGATCTTGAAGGAGGTATCAATTGTCAACAGCGTAGTTAGTCAACGATCATTAACATTCTACCCTAGTAGCTAAATTTCAACATTATTTTCTTATTTTTTGTGAAACAATTAGTGATTCCATCGCCCCAAGGAAAGAGGAGCATGATGAAACTTGCACAAAGGATGGTGAACAACTTCTGCGCAAACATTAGTGCATCCAACGGACATAGATGGACCACCCTTTCTGGGATGGACGAGATTGGAGTCCGAGTCGCTATCCATAAGAGCACCGATCCTGGTCAACCAAACGGTGTGGTTCTTAGTGCAGGTACTACCATTTGGCTCCCATTATCGCCACAGAATGTCTTCAATTTTTTCAAGGATGAAAGAACTCGACCTCAGGTAAATTTACGCTTACTAGAAATTGTTGCTCAAATTTTGTAACATACTAATCAGATTAAATTTTCAACTTTTAAATTGGTTTTGAATTTTTCCTCTAGTGGGATGTGCTTTCAAATGGCAATGCAGTGCAAGATGTTGCCCATATAGCAAATGGTTCACATCCAGGGAACTGTATATCTGTTCTTCGAGTAAGACAACTCTATATTTGCGAAACAAGTAATTCTGTGTTTCATATTGGAAATTGTTATTAGCATTTCAAAAAAGTCATTGTATCTTCATTGTTACACGAAACTTAATTTAAGGACTACTTGATTATATAGATTGCAAATTAATTGCCTTGTAACATGTATAGGCGTTCAACACTAACCAGAACAACATGTTGATACTCCAAGAGAGCTGCATAGACTCATCAGGCTCACTTGTTGTGTACTCTCCTATTGACCTACCGGCCATCAACATTGCAATGAGCGGTGAGGATTCTTCCTACATTCCCCTCCTGCCATCAGGATTCACCATTTCGCCAGATGGGCGAGCAGATCAAGGGGATGGCGCCTCATCAAGTTCTTGCAATGCAAATGGGAGTGGATCACTAGTCACAGTGGCATTACAAATTCTGGTGAGCAGCTTGCCATCCGCTAAGCTGAACTTGGAGTCGGTAAATACCGTTAATAACCTAATCGGAACAACTGTCCAGCAAATTAAGACAGCCTTGAATTGCAATAGTTCCTGATGATGATCACTCTCTGCTACACAACTGTTTTCTTGTCTACTATTGATCTTAAATATTTCTGATAAGAAATGATCAGAGGTATTCAATGTGGGACAAAGCATCTGGGTTAGTTGGAAACCTTGAATGCCCTCTCATCAAAGACCTGAAGCTGTACAATTACTTCCACTGTTGCTGCTGCTGCTGCTGATGGTTCAGAAGAGCTGTGTTTTTGCTTCCAAGGTTCATTACAATTTACACCAACTACAAACTTTAATTTATTTTGGTGGGGTAGGTTTTTGTTCTGGCTAGTGATTTTAACACTCGTCTTTTCAATCTCATGTACTCCTTCCGTGAGTGCGTAACAAATTATAGAGTATTCAGTAGGGGAGTACGCGTGGTTAGAAGAGGAGTGTTAAAATCGCTAGCCTTGGTTTTGTTATTTTGCAAATTTAGGTTTGGAAAAGTAGAGCATTAAAAGAGGGAGTCAAGAACGCACCATACGCGTCTTCTTTCTTGCTGAATTTCTCTCCGGCAAGAAAAAAAAGTTGTATGGTTCGGGCATTGACTTCTTGTTCATCGACTTATTTATCTTAATTTAAACTAAATTTGAATTTTCTCTCAACTGTTTTCCCTTCTTATTGATTGACAAATCAAATGTGCCTTGATAAATTTGTGTGTGGTTTCATTTATGTAGTATTGTGTTTGAGTGGAGGGAAACTTCAATAAATTTGTCCAATTGGAGCAATTTTCAATTTCAAATCGAACAAGATCATATAAAAGAGGATCAAAGTACATAAGTTCTTCCTTATATATTTTACGGATGACGTGATCAGACAATCATATTCAAATTTTTCTTCTACGATGAGCGAAGATGGCTAGGTAGAGGCTCCATCCATCTCCATGTTTTTCCTAGAGAGTGCAAAAGTGGAAAATAAGCTTAAAGATCGAACTTTTATGCCTCGACATTTTCTGTAGGGAAAAAGCATTTCCTTGATGAACTTTGATTGGTATGACCCTAACTGACTGCCTAACTGTCCACTTATTACTTCATTTAACCAAATTCTTTGAGTTTGAGTATGAGATTGAGTTGGATGGTCAATTTGTTAAATAATGGTGGATCCCCCATAAGCTTGGGGCCATCAACCAATCTAGTCGTTGGACTTTTGAAACTTTCGGATCTTTCTTTGTCTAATTAATTGGCAATTAACCATTATTATTCTTGCCTTATGTTAAGTAAGGCACAAGTAATAAAACCTGGGTTTGTTTAAGAGGAGTTGCAATGGGAGAAGGCTGGCGATTTTGGCACCCATCTTTCCTTTATTTGCACTTCAAACTAAATATTTACAATTTGTTTATAGTCACATATGTATGAAGCGCAAAAAGCTAAACGAAAATAAAGAGTGCTAAAATCACGAGCAAATCGAGGCGTGTTAAAGTCGCCATTTGTTAGTCATGGGAGAAGGGGAAGAAGGAGAATATGATCATCCATCCACCCCAGCTTACACTGCTTAAGCTGTGCTGCTATGGAAACAGTGAGTCATAAAGCCGGGGTTCATGAAAGTTAGCACAGAAGACAATAAATTGGACTTGGTTTGTTATTGGCTATGGATCAGCACAAAGCACAATTTTATTATAGTTTGATGTTTGTAAAAGAGACGGAGAAGTGAGAGCCAAAAGTTCTGCAACAAAGCCAGTATCGTATAGTCAGCCATAAAGACCGGGTCTTAAAACACCATCAATGCATCGTGTAGCTCTATGATTTCTGATGATTCCACCTACCTATATACATATATACATATATATATATATATATGTGTGTGTCTATATATATTGATTGAGATCTGGTGGCACGCGCTTTTGACGCACATTTTGATATCTATTTTCTAGAATTCACTTCGTAATATATTTTAACGATTCGAACAATTTTGTATTTTCATATATCATCATTGCAAAAAATTAGACAAATCTAAAATCATTAAGGCATTCTTTTGTAGTGAAAGAAATAAACAATACGGTTCTACAAAGCAGTAAATTTAATCCAACGGTCATATGGTTTCCGATTTGAATGATTTTTTGGTAGACATGATCTTTGAGGTAAGACATAAAAATAGATAATTGGATAGTTGAAATATATTACATAGTAAACCTCGCAAAAACATGTGTCAAAAGCGCTTACTCTACATATACACACACTACATATATGCCATATTTCTATATGATCCCATTCCCTAAAGCTAGCTTTAGCTTGCCACCTCACACACCATCCATCCATGAACATTCACCATGCAACCCTAGCTTTCCACTGCTTTACTTGGTAACCCTATTAAGTAAAGTACGTCCGTGCCTTGTTACCTCTTTGGTTGCTGTATAACTTGTGACGTTAAGGAACAAACAAACAAAAACAAGGAATGTGGATATAGTGTTCAATCAATGAAATGCAGGATATACTTCTTTGACATGAAATATGAACCCCTCTCTCCAAAAATATTAACTGAGTTGCGAACAATCGGATCGATTGCACACAGAAAACATCTCACACCCTCCTTTGATTTCATCCACCCTCGTCTCGTCTCAACCCCTTGCTTCTGGTGCTTGCCTGTACACGATCATCCCACCCACCCACCCACCCACCACCTCCTTTGTTTTACCTCTGGTACTACTTACTAGTAGGGTTTCATTTCATTAAATGATCCTGATGGTAGAGTTGTGATTAGAAAGGAAGTAGTTTCGAAGGCAGACACTGACATTTCTCCATATACAATAACCCTACTAGTCTATACCTCCATCCTGTTATCAAGGGCTTGCATCTAACCTGTCTAGTCTCTAGAGAAATTGGCTGGGAAATGTTTCAATTTTCGGTTTATGCAACTATCAAATTATTTTAATATGTTGTTGATATACACGATCGCTATGTCAAATAATGTTGAATCATGGTATAACCTATGTTTAATTTTGATCAACTTGATAATTAAGCTTTAATATATGAGCATTTTGGCCGATTTCCCATAATCCATCACTTAATTTTGGTATGTAAGAGCATGTGATAGATTTTCCTAGTGGTTAAAATATTCTTCTTCAACTTATTGCGTTCTGAGTTAAAAACTCTTTCACATTTTTATGCAATTTAGGGTAGAGTATCGTTCAATCGCATAAGATGATCGGCAAACTGACAAAGCCAATATTTGATGGGCTTCTCACCAAAACACTCGGCCCATTTTTGAGCATAACCTTAAACTCTCCAAGCCAAAGCGGGCCTTTTATATGCATTTCGGGAAGCATGAAACAAAAATAAATAAATAAAATTAATGTACAGCTCACTACAAAGGATCGTTCAAACACACCTGACGTCATTGCAAATTAGGGTATGAGATTTCAAATGACCTAACCACCCAATGTGTCTTACTAATCGTACGTGAGATATTAGAGTAAGTGAACTAATTAATCATTTGGTGTACTTAATTCTTAACCTCACAAATGAATGAGCTAATCACATGGCCCGAATTAAATATCTGTAAAAGTACGAAAATTAGGCCAAATAAAGGGGTGATTTGGCTCCTACATACCATGTGAGAGACTAGAGAAGGAAGAGAGTTGCCAAAAGCACCCAAAATTAACTAAAGACCTAAAATGAAGCATGCATGCATGCATGGGTCCTCCTCGACAATGACGGATTTAGAATTCTAATATCGGGATAATCTCAATATAAAATTTTCAAAAAAATTAAACGATAAATTACCAACTTTTCATGCATAATCTTTATACAAGTAACATTTTAAGCTACAAATACTAAATTTGTCCACAACGAGATTTCATTCTCTAAAAATGTGTTATGATAGTTTCATTGTCAAATACAAGAGAAAACAGATCAATAAGGATTTGGAACTATCCCCAAATTGGGTTGAACTATCTGGAATAAGATTAGAACTATCAAATTTGGAGTTGAAATATTTAGAATAAAATAAGAGATAATCGATGGTGATTTTCACTGGTGGTGGCCTAAAGATCGGTTGGGTGTGGTTAGAGAAAAAAAAAATAGGAATTGGAATTGGGAATTACCCAACTAGAGAAAGTGAATGCAAAATGAGATTTGGGTGGAGATCTTGGGTAGAAGGATAGACAATAGACTCTCTATATTTTTGTTTAATTATAAAGGATCTCCCTCATGTGGCATAATATAAAACTTGCTTTTAATTATTTTGTTTTAAATGGTTCATCTCAAAACAATGTTGTTTTTATCAAGTCTTTTAAGAAATAGTCTTCTTCTCCTTCGTTAATCGTTTGCATAACCTGCACCCATCGGGTTTGCCACTCCACTCTTCTCCTCCACCACATGCCCAAACTTGGTGGTCCTCGGAGGTCCTCATAGTCACTTATATGTATGGGTGGATTTTTTTGCCAAATTGCCATGTCAACCAAATTGACAACCATGGCATATCGATTTTGTGCCAATCGGTAATGGTACTGTATTGCACCGTATCAAAATTTCATGGTACGGTATTGGTAATGGATACCATTACCACGGTATTACAGTACCGTACCGAAAAATATAATATATAATTTACAAATTATAGAATATATAATTATATAACACATATTTATAATATATATATGTATAATATTCCAATAATTCGAAAATAAAACCCTACTTATATTAGCATTGTTATTGGTGACTTTGATCTTTTGGGTTAGTGGAAATCAAACACAAAGGAGTTCCCAATTATTTCACAAATAGCCAAAGATATCTTTGCAATCCCCACTTTTACCATTGCTATTGAAAATGCATTTAGCCTAGGGAGGAGGGTTGTGGACCCTTTTAGGGCATCCTTGACTCCTAAAATGGTAGGGGCACTATTTTGTACTAGTGATTGGCTTAGGGCGGATAAAGTAAACTTCTACAAGGAACCAACGGATGATATGCTTCAATTTTACAAGGAAATGGAAGAAGTGAAAACAAGTAAGATATGCTTTAATTTTTTTAGTAAATTTGTTATTAAATGGTTTTCAACTTTAATTCTTCTTGCTACTAATATGTTTTCTTTGTTTGTAATGTAGGCTTGACACAAGTTCAATCCTCCTCCAAAAGCTTCAACATCTCAAGCCTGAAGAATTGATCAATGAATTTTACTTTTTGAAGTTTAGTTCCAATTTTCATTTGGTTTGAAACTTTAACTTCTATTTGGATTGTTAACTTCTATTTGTTTTACTTCGTAACTTATATTTGGATTGTAAGCTTAATTTCATCATGAATCTTGATGCATCATTTGAATTATTTTGTGTGTGTGTGTGTGTCTGAATTGTGAATGGTGAATAATAGATGAATTTAGACTAAATGTATGAGATAAAACTACCCAAAAAAAAGTTTTGCCCTTGAACTGGGTTAAAAAAACAAAAACAGATTTTGTCCCAAAACAAAGTGGCAATTACCATTGTCATTCTATGCCAATTGAACTATTTGGCAATACCAAACTTCGGTGCACCGAAAGTTTAGTATGGTAATGATAACAGATTTTGTCAAACCTAAAGTTTGGTATGGTAACCATACCAAACTCGCCCCTACTTATATGGTCTTCAAGGTGGTACTGGGACCACCTAGGTCCCTTAATGTATCTGACAATG